TGATTTTCTCCACCCTCTGAGAGTGGGGACTTTCTGTTTCTCTTAATCATACCTCTTTGTACCTTTCCGAGAACTTGTGAAATCCGTGACTATCTGACTTGTTTTCTTGTTTACCTGTCTCTCCTCTAGACTCTAAATTCCAGGAGAGCGGAGCCGGACTACCTCTCGTTCCCTGCCTTAGCCCTAGTCTAGCGCAATACCTGGCATATAGAATCGGCACTTAGGGCCAGGGAGATGGCTCAGTGGGTAAGAGTGCTTGCTGTACAAGCTTGACCACCTGAGTTTGGATCTCCAGTATCCATGGGAAAAGTTGGCCGTGGCTACATGAGCCTGTAACCCTGGTGCTGGGGGATGGGGCTCAAGGAGCGGAGAATCTCTGGGGCTTGCTGGCCAGCCAGCGAAGCTGAAAAATGTCAGACTCCAGGTTCATTGGGAGACCTTGTGTCAAAGGAGTAAGGTGGGTAGAGAGAGGTGTTTCCTGTAGCTTCTGGCATCCGTACAAACGTACAAACATACACACCCCATACATGCACAAACACACGAGTTAGAGCAGGTACTCAATATGTTTGTTGAATGAATGGATGAACAGAAATAGAAGGAAACATTGTTTTGAGAGGAGCAGCATCAAGACATGTTCTCATGTAGCCCAAGCTGACCTCAAACTTGCTAAGTAGTACAGGTTGGATTCAAACTCGCCACAGGGTCCAGGTTGACCTTGAACTCATAATTCACCTGTCTCAGCTCCCAAGGGCTGAGGCTGTGGATGCACACTATCATGTGGTAGAAAGACATATTCGAATGCCAATGCTTCTTCTTCTTCTTCCTTTTTTTTTTTTTTTTTTTTTTTTTTTTTGATTTTCGAGACAGGATTTCCTCTGTAGCTTTTGGTTCCTGTCCTGGAACTAGCTCTTCTAGACCAGGCTGGCCTCGAACTCACAGAGATCCGCCTGCCTCTGCCTCCCAAGTGCTGGGATTAAAGGCGTGCGCCACCACCGCCCGGCGCCAATGCTTCTTGATGGGATACTGATGGAGTGGCACTTTGATTCTTTCTGGGTTGTCTCTCTTGTTCCAGACTGTGTGGAAACCTGACCCCAAAGGTACCAGGAGCCTCTATGCTAGGCAAAAACCTTAGGTATCAGTCTTCTCTAGGGCCCAGGCAAGGATGGCTGTGAGGAAGGGGTTCCAGAGTTCCTTAGCCTAGTTAAGTGTATTATGAAGAATGAATGGACTTGGATCCAGGAAGGGGTAAGGCAGGTGTGTGGGAAGTGTCGGGGGAGTGTAGGGAGTTGGATACTACAGCAATCTAAAAAGAGAGAAGGAACACTCAGCTTGGAAAACAGAAGAGCCAAGCAGATGAACATTTGAAAATCACTTAATTTTTTTTATTTTATTTTATTTATTTATTTATTTATTTATTTTTGAGATAAAGTCTCGCTCTGTAGCTTTGGCTGGCCTGGAACTTGCTATATTTGAGATGTATTTAAAATGGAAATTCAAACTGGGTATGCTTATAATCCCAGTTCAAGAAAGTCTGAGGTAGGAGAATTGAGGCCAACCTGGGCAACATAGTGAATCTTTTTTCAGTTTTTTTCCCCATGATATTTATTGAGCTCTACATTTTTCTCTGCTCCCCTCCCCGCCTCTCCCCTTCCCTCTCCAACCCTCCCCCAAGGTCCCCATGCTCCCAGTTTACTCAGGAGATCTTGTCTTTTTCTACTTCCCATGTAGATTAATAGATCTATGTAAGTCTCTCTTAGTGTCCTCATTGTTGTTTAAGTTCTCTGGGATTGTGGTTTGTAGGCTGGTTTTCTTTGCTTTATGTTTAAAAACCACCTTTGAGTGAGTACATGTGATAATTGTCTTTCTGGGTCTGGGTTACCTCACTCAATATGATGTTTTCTACCTCTATCCATTTGTCTGCAAAATTCAAGCTGCCGTTATTTTTTTCTGCTGTGTAGTACTCCATTGTGTAAATGTACCACATTTTCCTTATCCATTCTTTGATCGAGGGGCATTTAGGTTGTTTCCAGATTCTGGCTATGACAAACAATGCTGCTATGTACATAGTTGAGCACATGTCCTTGTGGCACGATTGAGCATCCTTTGGATATATACCCAAAAGTGGTATTACTGGGTGTTGAGGAAGGTTGTTTCCTAATTTTCTGAGAAATCGCCACAGTGACATTCAAAGGGTTTGTACCAGCTTGCATTACCACCAGCAATGCAGAAGTGTTCCCTTTTCCCCACAACCTCTCCAGCATAAGTTGTCATCAGTGTTTTTGATCTTGGCCATTCTTACAGGTGTAAGATGGAATCTCAGAGTTGTTTTGATTTGCATTTCTCTGATGACTAAGGATGTTGAACATTTCCTTAAGTGTCTTTCAGCCATTTTAGATTCCTCTGTTGAGAGTTCTCTGTTTAGGTCTGTACTCCGTTTTTTTTTTTTATCGGATTATTTGTTCTTTTGGTGTCCAATTTCTTGAGTTCTTTGTATATTTTGGAGATCAGACCTCTATCTGATGTGGGATTAGTGAAGATCTTTTCCCATTCTGTAGGCTGTCGTTTTGTCTTGTTGACCATGTCCTTTGCTTTACAGAAGCTTTCCAGTTTCAGGAGGTCCCATTTATTAATTGTTTCTCTCAGTGTCTGTGCTGCTGGGGTTCTATTTAGGAAGTGGTTCCCTGTGCCAATGCATTCAAGTGTACTTCCCACTTTCTTTTCTATAAGGTTCAGTGTGGCTGGCTTTATGTTAAGGTCTTTGATCCATTTGGACTTGAGTTTTGTGCATGGTGATAGATATGGGTCTATTTTCATTTTTCTACATGTTGATATCCAGTAATGCCAGCACCACTTGTTAAATATGCTTTCTTTTTTCCATTTGATATTTTTTGCTTCTTTATCAAATATCAGGTGTTCGAAGATGTGTGGATTGATATCCGGGTCTTCTATTCGGTTCCATTGGTCCTCCTGTCTGTTCTTATGCCAGTACCAGGCTGTTTTCAGTATTGTAGCTCTGTAGTAGAGTTTGAAGTCAGGGATTGTGATGCCTCCAGAAGTTTTTTATTGTACAGGATTGTTTGGGCTATCCTGGGTTTTTTGCTTTTCCAAATGAAGTTGAGTACCGTTCTTTCAAGGTCTTTGAAGAATTTTGCTGGGATTTTGATGGGCAAACATAATGAATTTTTAAAATAATTTATTTAAATTTATTTTATGTACATTGATGTGAAGGATTCCCTTGCACTGGAGTTACAGACAGTTGTGAGCTGCTATGTGGGTGCCGGGAATTGAACCCAGATCCTCTTGAAGAGCAGCCAGTGCTCTTAACTGCTGAGCCATTTCTCCAGACCCACATAGTGAACTTTAAGCTAACCTGGACAACACAGTGAGATCCTCTCTTAAAACCAAAAGAAAATGGGGAGATGAGTCAGTGGTTGAGAGTCCAGGCGGCTCTTCTATAGGACCTGGGTTTTCCCCCCAGGTCACAGCCATCTGTAATTCCATTTCTAGGGGGATCTGATGCCTTCTTCTGGCTTCTGTGGACCGTAGGCATGCAAGCGGTGCACAGACATACAAGCACGCAAAACAGCCATACACACAAAACAAGACAATCTATAGGGAGCTGAGGAGACGGCTCAAAGGCAAACTGTTGTGTAAGCACAAGGGCCTGTGTTTGGATCCCTGGCACCCACAGGAAGATACCTGTCTGCAAACCCCAGGGTTGAGGGTGGGGTGAAGTTAAGTGGATGCCTGGGGCGCACTAGCCAGACAGTCTAGTCAAAGTACTGAACTCCAGCTTCAGTGAGAGACCTTGTGTCAAAAAAATGAGGTGGAAAGCGATAGGCAACAGCTACTGTTGACCACTGACTTCCGCCCACAGATATGGACGCGTTCATACACCACATACAAAAATTTAAAATAATCTGAGCGCGGTGGGCCAGCACTCGGGAGGCACACACACGCACACACACACACACACACACACACGCACACATTAAAGGTAAAGTCAGTAGGCTTGGCAACTAGAAGACGGTGGAGAAGAATGGAGGACATCAAAAATTACTTTGAGACCTTCATCAATGAGCCACCCATCTCCTTATTTAGCCTGTCTTCCAGTCTAAACGCATAGAAATGGCTACTGCCCTGCTTGGCTCCCACCCCTACCCCAGTTCATTCAGGACTTAGAGCAGCCTTCTAAGGTATCCAGTTTTCTCGGGAGCACACCATCCGTGGGCTGAAGAGCACGGGTCTTGACCGACATTGGTCCTTTCAGACTTCGGGATGACGGATGCTTTGGGAAGATGAGTGGGGGGGCATATGTGGCGGGAGGTCCTGGAAGAGCGGTCACAGCAAAGCATTTAAACGGGACTTCCTCAGAAGATGCCGTTTCTGGAAAGTCTGAAGAACAAGGACGGCAGGCCCTGCGAATTAGGGTTGGAAATAAAGAACCAGGAGTGAATGCACTAAGATGGAAGACGTCCAGGGGCGAGTGCGGGAGTGTGAGCGCGCGAGGACCTGTGGGTGACACGCAACACGTTGAAAACCATATTGGAGGAGTTTGCATTTCTCGCTTAATCCACCTGGGAAGACACAGGCGTACTGCCCCGCCTCGCAAGTCACCTCAGCTTTTATACAACGTTGTGTATGACAACAGAAAAGGCACAAGCTGGAAGTCCGGGGGGCGGGAGCGCACGGGGTGGGGGCGGGGAGGGGGGGGACTGCTTCTAGACAAGAAGCTCGGGGTCCCTCAGCCCAAGTCCAGGGAAAGCGGCGGCTTTGGACAGAACCATTATCAGAAGATGGAAGGGGGACAAAAGGCCTTTCACCATGAACTCGATCCTGCAGAGCCAATTTGGCACTCGCTCATCTCTTTCTTTCCTCTTCTTGTTCTTTCTTTCTATTTCCATCACCACTTGCTGCACTCTCGCACGATTCCGAATCCTCGGCTCCACTAATTGATCTTCGGTGACCCCCAGCATCACACGTGGTACAGCCCAGTGGAGCCCGCTCCGGGCGCAGGTTATAAAGGCTCGGCTGCGGCAGCCCACTGCGGAGTCAAGATGCGCCCCAAGGAACAGGTGCAGAACAGTGCGGGGGAAGGGACGGGGTCTGGGGACCCAGCAGCAGGGACCCCCGAGACCCAGCCTGCAGCCAGTCCGGCCCCGGAGCCCTCGGCGGAGCCCAAACCTGCTCCTGCGCAGGGAACCGGGTCCGGACGGCGAGCTCCAGGATCCCGAATCAAGACAGGAAGATTTTGTCGGTCCATGATTATCGGTAATTCGGACGCGCCATGGACCCGTTATGTATTCCAGGGGCCTTATGGTCCCCGGGCCACTGGCCTGGGCACTGGAAAAGCCGAGGGAATCTGGAAGACGCCAGCCGCGTACATCGGCCGGAGGCCTGGCGTGTCCGGCCCTGAGCGCGCCGCGTTTATTCGAGAGCTGCAGGAAGGTAAACTGAATCTATGGGATCCTGCACTGACTGCTACTCGGGCATCTCCGGGGAGGAGGAAGGGGCCCACGACTCAGGAGCCCCGCCCCCCTGTGGCGCTCACTCCCACCTTTCCACCACCCCGCGAGACCTCTGTCCGCAGTGCCTGTTTAGTCTCCCTTTTCCCATCTCTTCCTCCCTTTCGGGTTCCACGAATTTTGTGTGTGCGTCAGGTTCAGGGCCTGCGCGCTCCTCGCCCCCTCTTCGCGCCTGTTGCTGCGGCAGATCTGCGCACTCTCAGTGCCCCCTCCCCATCTACCGCAGTGCCAGCAGAGGGGCGGGGGCTGCCGTAGGGAGCTGCTAGTCGCGCTCTGAGCCTGCGCTAGCTCGTGGAACCAGCATGCGTGGGTGGGTGGAGAGGGAGCTTTTGACCACTAACTGGCTGCAGGGGTCTGGGTTGTGTTTTCCCCGGAGCTGGGCTGAGGCGGGAGGAGTGGGCGGGGCACTGAGCTTCTGTTCCTCCTCTTCTGGGCGGGCACAATTTTAGGCTTTGGTGCCCCCTTCTGGGTGCTGAAGAAGTCTCCTTGGCCCTCTTGTCACAAGCAACAGGTGTAAGGTGACTAAACTGCATATGTTTTTATGACCGAGGAGGCTCCAGTGAGCTGGATCCGCTGCCGATTGGGTCAGGCATGACCAGTCAGTTTGCAGCTGTATTTCCCCTGACTTCCTATCTCTGGGGACCAAGGACCCAGGGGTCCTAGGATTCCAGTTCTTGAACCTAGAGGGTGGTTTTGCTCTTACAGCACCCAGGCCCCTCCTGAGGAAGCAGGAGCGCTGAGATCCGGAGCTCTGCAGAGGGTGCTAGGGCCGGATGGATCTCAGTCTCCTGGCTCTCTGACCTTTGGTTTGAGGGTCGCAGTGGGCTGTGGGCAGCCTTGGCTCCTTTCTCTGACCCACCCAAGCCTTTCCTCCTGCAGCACTGTGTCCTAACCCACCTCCCACGAAGAAAATCACTGAAGATGATGTCAAAGTGATGCTATATTTGCTGGAAGAGGTGGGTATTGCTTTTCTCACCCAGATCGGCCCTCATTTTAACTCTGCCCTGCAGGACTTAGGGATTCTGTCTGTTTTTTGCTTGCCTGAGGGTCAACTTGAGGGCCCCTCTCCAGAAATGCATTTGCTTCCAGGGGGGCAATCTGGGCTGATCTTATTCTTTTCCCCAAGATGGGAAATCGAATCAGACCCCAGAGTTCGTTAGTAGTCTGTGATCTAGTACCTGGACTACTGGGTGTTGGGGAAGCTTTCTTCGTGTGTCCTAGCCCTGGTTCCTCTCTCCTGTTTGGGAGGTCCGAGAAACTGGGAAAGTATGAATGGCTGGCTCTCCTTTTGCAGAAAGAACGGGACCTGAACACAGCTGCTCGCATCGGTCAGTCCCTGGTGAAACAGAACAGTGCTTTGATGGAGGAGAATAACAAGCTGGAAACCATGCTGGGCTCAGCCAGGGAGGAGGTATTTGGGCACCTAAGGGCAGGGGTCAGTGTGTTCCCCAAACTAGCACCTGTTATATGCCTTCGTGCTCACCCTCCAGTGGCTTCTCTCTCCTCCCCTAGATTTTGCATCTCCGGAAGCAGGTGAACCTGCGAGATGACCTCCTTCAGCTCTACTCAGACTCCGACGATGAGGAGGATGAGGAGGAAGAAGAGGAAGAGGGAGAAGAGGAGGAGCACGAAGGACAGCGGGATCAAGACCAACAGCATGATCATCCTTATGGTGCTCCCAAGCCGTACGTGTCCTGCCTTTGTGCCTGGACCATCCCTTCTCCGAGCTTCAGTTGCTCATTTGTGAGCAGGGACGCGGGCAGTGAGCCTGCCAGGAGAGCTGTTGGAACTTGCTGACCCTGCCACCCTTATCCAGTATGGGGAAGCCATGGGGCCTGGGATCCACCACCCTCCACCCCATGCTGACTCTCGTCACCCTGTTGCCAGGCCCCCTAAGGTGGAGTCACAGCACCGCTGCCCACAGCTGGAAGCTCTGCAGCAGAAGTTGAGGCGACTGGAGAAGGAGAATGACCACCTGCGAGAGGAGGTGAGGCCAGGGAGGAAGGCACGCCCTTTGGCTGGGGGTGGTGACAGCCTGGCCCCCTTCCTCTTTCCCTTCCTCCAGGCCTCTCACCTTGACAACCTGGAAGACGAGGAGCAGATGCTCATCCTGGAATGCGTGGAGCAGTTTTGTACGTGACGCTGTAATTCGGGATGGAGCACGGGCCTGGAGGGGTGGTGGGAAGAATTCAGGGTTTGGAGACTGGAGAGCTGAGCTGAGGTCTCGGCTCTGGGACTTTGCAGCTGCGTAAGCGCAGACAGATTCCTCGGCTTTTCTGAACGTTCATCTTTAGAATGAGGATTAATGACTGTGACCTGCTGACCCTTCATCTCAGGCTTTATGAGGTCGCCGAGCGTGGCGGTGCACGTCTGTGATCCCAGCACTCAGCAGTCAGAGCAGAGTCAGGTGGTGAAGACTTTGAAGGGAGAGAGAGAGACACACACATACACGCACGCGCACACACACACACACACACACACACAGAGAGAGAGAGAGAGAGAGAGAGAGAGAGAGAGGAGAGAAAGAGAACGAGCTGAGCTGAGGAAGTGCTTTGTGTAAGAGAGCTTGGCAGAAGCCACAGGGGTCCTTAAAGTCTATTATTTGGGACGGTACACGCTGGGAATGTGGCTGGGACAGCGGGGAGAGAGCCAGCAGCTGCCAGAGTCTGGACATTTAGGGCTGGAGGCGTTCAAAGTCACATATTGGGTCTGAGCTGTGCCTAGCACCAACCTGAGCTTTGTCCGTCCCCGAGGCCCTCAAGTCTACTTGCTGAGATGCAGACTCAGGAGGGTAGCAGTCCGCTTCTGTCGGCCTACGTCATCCCTGGCCTTCCTTCCCCCTGCATTCCACGGCTCTCAAGACTCAATATCTCTAGCCCCCAACATCTCCTAATGCACCATGGAGTCTCTCTGCCCATCCAGGACTACAGCCTGGATGAGTTTTCTGAAACCGAATCAGGTTCCGTCTTCCCATTGGTCAAAGGATAATCTCGACCCCTCCCCCCACCTGTGTGATAAGGTCCTCTGCTCACTGCCCCAGCATCTCTTGCTGCCCACGCTCTCCAGCTTCCTCTTTGTATGGTGGTGCTTACTTAGCCGGTGGCTCCTTCCAGAACCCTTCCTAGGCTTTGCAGCACAGGTTGATGGTCCTTCCACCTATGACGTCATTTTCTCTACTGCTCCCCCATTGGCTCTATCATAGCCCGTACTATCTGATATCCTGAGTTCCTCTTCCTAGTTGACTGTCTCCACTGTACCGGAGCTTGGTATGGGCTGGGATCTGTGTGTTGATAAGCTGTTCCTGGACAAGAAGACCTGAACAAAGAATGCCAAAGCCCCCTGGGACCCCCGAGGGGCGGGCCAGAGCCGAGGCTGATCTGTGCTTGTCCCGTAGCTGAAGCGAGCCAGCAGATGGCAGAGCTCTCGGAGGTGCTGGTCCTGAGGTTGGAGGGCTATGAGCGGCAGCAGAAGGAGATCACCCAGCTGCAGGCTGAGATCACCAAGCTACAACAGCGTTGTCAGTCGGTAAGCTGCACCATGGGAGCTCCTCTCCCTCATCGAGGCTGCATGGGACCCCAACCTCTTCCCCCTGCTCTGCCAGGCCCAGAAGTCTAACCTGTGTGGGCATCAGAGTTAGCAGAGGTTAACTAGAGAGCCTTTCATCTTGCCCCGTCATGTCCCTAGCCGAGCCCACGGGATCCCACAACTCTTCCCGGTGCCAAGCTGAATGACCTGCACTTTAGGACGCCCATCCCATGTGACCTCCTCCTAAAAGGACTGTCAAAGACTCTGATGTGGGACGCCTGTTTGGGCAGGGAGCCCTGGAGTGGGAGGTCTTGTGGGGTCTCATACATCCTGGTTCCTTCCAGTATGGAGCCCAGACAGAGAAACTGCAGCAGCAGCTGGCTTCGGAGAAGGGAGTCCACCCAGAGGTGAGGTTCCATGTGTCCTTGATCAGGGATGCAGGCCCCTGGGGATTGCTTGAATCTCCACAGAAGACAGAGCCTTTCTGCCGCCCACCCTGACTGGCTTGTGGCTCAGCGAGTAGCAGCTCATTTGAGACCCGAATGGGTCTTGTCCAGGGTTACCCAGAATCTCACTGTTTGGATTAAGAGCGTGGGGGGGGGGTGTACCGGGAGGCGGGCGCGGGGCGCTAAGGCGAGAGCAGGCGGAGTGTCTGACTGGGGACCCCTGGATCCTCGCAGAGCTTTCGCGCGGGCTCCCACGTGCAGGATTATGGGAGCAGGTTTCGCGATCGCCAGGAGGATGGGAAGAACCAGCGCCAGCGCTCCTCGATGCCCACGACTTCTGTCGCCCACTATGGATACAGTGTGCCTCTGGTGAGGATGTCCCTTTGATCTCGGGATCAAACCAGACCTGCTGCTGCCTGGTCTCTGCCCTCTGATTTTTCCCCTGTGAGTGTGGGGGTGGAACGGCTCCTCTCATCTCTGTTATAGGACGCGCTTCCCAGTTTCCCAGAGACGCTGGCTGAAGAGCTCCGAACGTCTCTAAGGAAGATCATTACTGACCCTGCCTATTTCATGGAGAGGTGCGTGACTGGGATCCTCAGGCTTGCTTCAGCTCTGCTCACTTTGGTTCACCCAGTGGCAGCTACTTTCTCTGAGTGGGGCATGGTTGACCCTCATGTTCTGACCTCTCTTGGGTATCCATCCTGCTCCACTCACACTGCCTAGCCCCTCCCTCTTTGGACTCTGTATTGGATTGGTCATTTCTACCGGAGACTTCTTTCTTTTGTCCTTTTGAGACTGTGTTTCTCTGTGTATCCCTGGCTGTCCTGGAACTCACACCCTCACACCGTAGACCAGGCTGGCCTTGAACTTCGAGATCTGTCTTCCCAGTACTGAGATTTAATGTCCCGCCACGCCTGGCTTCCTGTGACCTTTCAATATGTCTGTGCCCCAGGAACTTTGCAACGTGAGCTTCCTCAGTCCACTGAAGGCCCTGCTCTCTGTTAAGGGCTTACAGGGTGGCTGTGGGGGAGACATAAAACCTGGGGTAACCTGGCTAAGGGCTCCCCATCATCTGTCTTCACATTGCAGCAGTCAGACGACAGCAGGATGCTGGTTCTGTGACCAGGAAACTGGGAAGGCGTGCCCTGGGGGCTACTCATCTGAAAGTTGTTTTGGAAATAGGCTGTCCCTTTCCATTCATATGACACCTAGGTGGCCACTTTGATTTAGGCTACTCTGTGTAGAGACCAAGGCGGACGTCATATCTAGACAGGGACACGTGAGGGTTTTCCCACACCTGTCAGCCATGCTGGAGTTCCTGGCCCTTACTCCTCTCCCTCCAACCAGGGGCTTCTGAGGAGGACATCCCAACCCGACCCCTACCCCTTAGCTCTCTGAGTTCTCTTGCCCTGCCCTAGTCTACAGACCCTCAAGGTCCTCCCCAGCTCTGTCCCAGCCAGGAGTGAAGGGAAGGAGAATTATCCTCAATGTACCCAGTACCCAGCCCGTGCCACTTAGCAAGAAGAAGCAGGGTCATCAATACCAAACAGGTTCCATCTCTTGTCCACTTCCCACCCTCCTAGATGTGACGTCCGCTGCAAGGAGGAGCGAGAGCAGGAACAGGGGGCGATGCCACAACCCCCACCACCGCAAGATCTCAAGCCACCTGAAGATTTCGAGGCTCCAGAGGAGCTGGTGCCTGAGGAGGAGCTGGGGGCCATAGAAGAGGTGGGGACAGCCGAGGAAGGGCTGGCGGACGAGGCAGACCGGGTGTCTGAGGAGACCGAGGCCTGGGAGGAAGTGGAACCAGAGGTGGACGAGGCCACAAGGATGAATGTGGTGGCCTCCGCCCTGCAGGCCAGTGGCCTGGGCCCTTCCCGCCTGGACATGAAGTACGTCCTCCGGCAGCTGACCAACTGGCAGGATGCTCATTCCAAGCGGCAGCAGAAGCAGAAGGTGGTCCCAAAAGGTGAGTGTTCTCACAGAGGACACCCTCCTGCCAGTGGGTCGAGCTTCCGGTCATCAACCTTGTGAGAGGTGAGGGTAGGTGAGCTCCCCAAATGCTCACTGTACCTCAGTTTGGTCCCGCTCAGTGTGCTGATTTGCATGGACTTTGCCTACTATTTAACAGGCACCTCCAGGTCCCCTTGGTAGAATTGTTGCCTTAGTTCTCACTTGTGTGGAATTTGCTTACAAGTCCAGCTGTCCATCCACCTTCTTCCTGGGGGCGCTGAACTGAGGACTAGGACTGGGACTGTGTGCCCCCTTTGTACCTCAGCTTCCTATCTCTGCTCACCCTTCCCCTTATCCCCATCCCTAATTTCTCTATTCCCCCAAGACTCTCCGGCCCTGCAGCAAACAAACGTGGGGGAGGGGCGGGATCTTGGAGCAGCAGCCCAGGGTCAGACCCAGGACGCTGGAGGACAGTATCACTAACTCTCCCAGTGCCAGAGAGGAGGAGAAACCCTGGATTTTGGGAGTTACATGCTCTGAGGGCAGGCTTTTTAGGCCCGGCCTATGAGGAGCTGTCAGTGAGTTCAGGTGATTTGGCACTGGGTTTTTTTTTCCCTGAAGGCTCTTTTCGTCCTTGCACGCGCGCACAAACACACACACACACACACACACACACCGGTGGGTCGGTAGATTCGATCCTGCACCATTTCTTAGAAGAGGACCCTGAAGTTGAGAGAGCTGAGCTAACTTGTCCAAGGCTACACAGCTAGGCGCAGACCTGAGCCTGTGGGTAGTGAAGCCCTGGTCTGGTCTCACTGCTACGCTGGCTCTTTCTGCACAACACCTGAAGTCTGTAACTTGTAGGCAGCACCCTTTCACGCCGGCTCGCTGTCACTCTTGATTTTTGGGGGAAGGGGGGCACCAGTGGGTGAAATATATCACTGGAAGAAGCACAGTAAGAGTGTGCCAGTTGTAATAGGGTCAGCGCTTCTGTGACTGACAATGGGAAACCTGAATAACCGTCAGTGGTGTCTCCTGACACGGTCGATCTTGTCTGAGGTGGGTCAGGCTCGTGGTTCACGTCCACCCGCTTCTCTTCCAGGCTCTGCTGTTTCCCAGCAGCCTGCAGAGGCCCCACAGACCGCTTGAGACCCCTTCTTCTGCTGCCTGGCTAAGTCCCTCCCTTCCTTCCCTTCCTTGGAAACAGGACCTCAGGTCTATAGGCAGGCCTTTCTCTGTCCTGGCCCAAGCTTCTGCTCTCTTCTAAGGCAGGCTGAAAGAACCCTAGTTCCTCATTCTGAAACTGGTGCCAAAGTTGTGGCTACTGGGGCCCCCGGGGTGGAAGCAGCCTGCGGGGAGACTGTCTGGCTACCAGACCCAGCTCTGAGACAGGTGTGAGTGGTCAGGGTGGGGGCCCAGGTCCCTAGGGTAGGCAGTTACTGGGAGGACCTTCTCTATCCCTTGAACCGCTCACATAAAGGGACCTCCCCAATCCTGGTTGGCTTTTGAACCTGATTCTTTTTTGCTATCCTTCGTCCTTCCTCTGTTTATATTGCCGTGTGTAAAGTGAAGTGTATCTGAGTGGGGGTGGCAGAGGGGTCCCTCCTCCCTGTGACGTCTCGGTCTCCCGTGGCCCGTGAGTTTCCCTCTAGAGTTCTGCCCTTCCCGACATCTTTGCTCATGCATAGCTGCGGCCTCGGTGCCTGCCCTGCTCCTGCAGTGCTCCATAGTCTTGTAGCTTGTCAGCCTTTGTATCGATGTTTGTGCCCGTGTGGAAATAAAGAACTTGTGAGCTACCTGACCTGTCTCAGTCATGTTTCTCGGGAATCATGGTGTGTGTGCGTGGGCATGCTGCATGTACACGTGTGTGCACTTTTGGGGAGCAGAGCCACGGAGAGAAGATGCATTGATACTGAATGACACGCCAGGGACTCTTATTAAGTATAAGTGCATATGACACACTGCTGGGTAGTATCGGGTGACACCATGTGCATTTGTCAGATGGCAAAACTGAGGCCCAGATGGGTTCAGTGATCCAGGGGTCTAACAGCCAGTTATAGTGCTGAGCTTGAACCCAGGTCTTTTTTTTTTTCTTGGTTTTTCGAGACAGGGTTTCTCTGGTTTTGGAGCCTGTCCTGGAACTAGCTCTTGTAGACCAGGCTGGTCTCGAACTCACAGAGATCCGCCTGCCTCTGCCTCCCAAGTGCTGGAATTAAAGGCGTGCGCCACCACCGCCCGGCTTGAACCCAGGTCTTTGAAGCTGGCCAGTCTCCCTTTCCTGATCCTGACTGTCCCGAGGTCTCTGTCACTGTGCTTTAGTTAAAGGAAAAATTAGGAGGAGAGTTGCCGTCTAGTTTAGGTCAACCCCCCTAAACCTGGAACAGGAATTTGTAGCTCATCTTGGAAATACCCCAGGAAATAGTCTTAGAGAGAGGGGAAATAACAGGAAGCAAATCTGGAGACGTTTGAGACAAGGAGAATCATGGTCTACCAGCTAAGGATTGAACTCTCAACTTGGGAGCCTTTTGGGGACAATTCTTTATATCTAAACAATAATCACTCACGATTTCAAAAAGACTCGTATCAGTTAATTGATATGTTCAGTCTGTCTCTAAGAATTCCACAATCTTTAACAGTTGACAGTACTCAAAAGTCCAAGTTCATGCCACGCATGATGAAACACACCTTTAATCCCAGCACTCGGGAAGCAGAGGCAGGCAGATCTCTTGAGTTTGAGGCCAGCCTGGACTACAGAACTAGTACCAGGACAGCCAGGGCTATACAGAGAAACCCTGTCTCAAAAAACAAAACAAAATTCCAAGTGACCTGTGAAAGTTGGGAAAATTCTTAGCTACAAATCCTGCAAGACAAAATTGTCTATTTAAAATTCATAGTGCTTCAGGGTAAACACCTTCTTTTTGAAACTATGGCTGGCCTGGAACTCCATATGTAGACCAGACTGGCTCCAAACCTACAAAGATTCAGTTGTCTCTCAACTGGTAGGATAAAGACACACACTGCTGTACACAGCTGGCATTCATTACTTTAAGATACTCGCTGGGGGGCTGGAAAGATGGTTCAGCAGTTAAGAGCATTGTCTGCTCTTCCAAAGGTCCTGAGTTCAATTCCCAGCAACCACATGGTGGCTCACAACCATTTGCAATGAGATCTGGTGCCCTCTTCTGGCCTGCAGGTATACACACAGACAGAACATTGTATACATAATAAATAAATAAATAAACATATATATATTTAAGATACTTGCTGGGGTGGGGGAGGGGGCTGGAGAGATGGCACAGTGGTTAAGAGCACTGCCTGCTCTTCCAAAGGTCCTGAGTTCAATTCCCAGCAACCACATGGTGGCTCACAACCATCAGCAATGAGATCTGGTGCCCTCTTCTGGCCTGCAAGCATATATGCAGACAGAACACTGTATACATACATATATACAAAAAAAAAAAATAAGATACTAGCTGAGTATCTTAAAGGGAAGTCTCAGGGACAGTGGTACCCAGCTGTATTTCAGCACTGGGAGGCAGAAACAGGTGAATCGGGAGTTCAAGACCAATCTGGGTTCTCATAATATGACTTTATCTCCAACAAAAACAATCCAGCAGAGGCTAGAGAGATGGCTCAGTGTTAGGTAAGAGAGCTTGCTATGTTTGCAAGCCTGAGGACCCGAGTTCCCAGCACAATGGAGAGTGGAGAATGGAGCTCACTGGGGCTTTTCTGCTACCAGCCTAGTTCAAGGTTTCTTGAGAGGACCTGCCTCATAGGCTTAAAGCAGACATAAGGCAGGACACCCGACATCTTCCTCTGGCCTCTGAGCATATGTACAGGTACATACACCCGCATACACACACACACACACACACACACACACACACACATACATACAGAAATAAATGTATGGTGGCACAGGCCTTTAATCCCGCCACTTGAGAGGCAGAGACAGGTGGATCTCTGTGAGGGAGATGGAGGTCAGCCTGCTGTACTTAGCCAGAGGTGTGTGGTGAGACCTTATCTCAAAACAAACAAACAAACAAACAAACAAACAAAAAAGACAACCAGAAGATAAGTGGTATAGAATGGAATAAACTGTGATCGTTGCTCTAAGGAACCCTAAGTAGTAGCTGTCCTGTCCTTCCTCTATTACTCTGCATTCTCCTTCCCGTGACCCTTTGGCTGGTCCACCTTACCTTCCTGGTGACCTGACCTAGTTCTGCACTTCTGAGTGATGTGAACCTTGGTCTTGCTGCCTTTGTCAGGTCAGCTTGCTTGAATTTCCTACTTACGGTTATGAGACTAGAAGTAGCAAGAGCCCCTACCCCTCGCAGGTCTCTGAATCCCAGACATGGTCCTGCTTGTCCCTGACTTGAGGTTTTCCCTCATGGAAAGCAGAGACCATAACTTCTGATGGTTGTTTACTCCGTTCTTTGGCCTGCAGATAGGAAGACCCAAACATGGCCAAGAAAGAGCTGTAACTTTATATTTTGTGTGCTGGAGCCTGGGCCCAGGAAGTGCTTAGGAAGTGCTCTACCATGGAGCTATATACCAAGTGCTATAATTTTATATTTATTTGAAACTTTTTTTTTTTAATTTTTGAGACTGAGTCTCTTGTAGGCTCAAACTCCATGTGTAGTCAAGAACGACCTTCAGCTTCTGACCCTCCTGCCTGTCTCCCCAGTGCTGGGATTATATGTGTATACCACTCTGCCCATTTTATAGGGTGGTGGGGACTGAAGCCAGGGCTATGTGTGTGTTAGATAAACACTCCACCAACTGAACTACATTGCCTTGCTCCAGCTAACTTCTCCTAAGGAGATGTGACACAAACGTTTGTTCATTCCAGACAAGGAACAAAGTGGCAATACTGCTGAAATTGAATTTGGTGACCCTGTGAGTTTATCAGAGTTACTTAGAAGAGTATGAATGAGGGGCTACTTACAGGAACATGTATGACTCAAGGGCAGCTGCATCACTGAAAACCCGCCCAAGGACAGTCACTCATGAGAACCTTGAAATTCAGTGAACAACTTGGAGGCAGCTCCACGGGTCAGAGCTGTCTTCCAGGCAGTTCAGCAGGTCAGCCTTTTCCAGCCTCAGTTGGACTGATTCACCTTAGAGCTTCTTACTGGTTATATAACCTTGTGTGCTTGTTCAGTTCAGAAACTTCCTGAGCCTTCTCAGTTATTTACTTCCTGAGTCTTGTCTTTTCTTTCTTCCTCTTCTTTCTTCCTCTCTTTCTTTCTTCCTCTTCTTTCTTTCTTTCTTTCTTTCTTCCTGTCTGTCTGTCTGTCTGTCTGTCTTCTCGGTCTCTCTCCAGGATGGAGGAAATACAATAGGTCACTATGACCTCTGTTGTTCAGGTGGCAGAGTGCTTGGAAGCTCCGGATTCCATCTCCAGCACCATAAAGCACCTGTATGGTTTGAAGTCAGTTTGGGTTGTATAAGACCCCATTCCACACAAAGCAAACAAAAAGAACAATTTTTATATTTGAAAATTGTTGTGGCATATTTGTATGCCATGCAAATATATATTGCTGTGGTTGGTTTAATAAAGAGCTGAATGGCCAAGAGCTAGGCAGGAGGTGTAGGTGGGACTTCCAGGCAGGAAGAGAAGAAATAGGAGAGAATAGGCGTGTGAGAGATGCCAGCCAGACACAGAACGAGTTGGACACACAGAATGGGGTAGAATAAAAAGCCATGTGGTCAACGTAGGTTAATATAATTTTTTTTTTTTTGGTTTTTCGAGACAGGGTTTCTCTGTAACTTTGGTGCCTGTCCTGGAACTAGCTCTTGTAGACCAGGCTGGCCTTGAACTCGAACTCACAGAGATCCGCCTGCCTCTGCCTCCCGAGTGCTGGGATTAAAGGAGTGCGCCACCACCGCCCGGCAGGTTAATATAATTTTGGGTTAACTTAAGTTGTAAGAGCTAGTTGAAAATAAGCCTAAGCTAAAGGCCAAGCTTTCATAATTAATAATAAATCTCAATGTTGTTATTTGTGAGCTGGTGATGCAAAGAAAAATCTTATTACATAGAATTGTATTTTTTTTTGAGAGTGTTAACTATAGAGGCCTTAAACTTCCAACCCTCTCCATCTCCCAAGTGCTGTCATTACAGATGTGTGCCGACAGCAACTGTAAAATTCTTCCCTGAAGCTGGGCAGTGGTGGCACACACCTTTAATCCCAGCACTTGGGAGGCAGAGGCAGGTGGATCTCTGTGAGTTCAAGACCAACCTCGTCTACAAGAGCTAGTTCCAGGAGAGGCTCCAAAGCTACAGAAAAACCCTGTCTCAAAAAGCAAAAAAAAAAAAAAACAAAACAAAACAAAACAAAAACAACAACAACAAAAAAATTCTTTCCTGAGAATCTACCTACCTTCCTTGACTTAGCCTCTTGACTTGCTAAGCCTAAACTATTTTCTCTCTGTCTGGCCCTATAATAAAGAGCTTGCCAGCCCTCCAGGTCTGCCCTGTACTTCTTCTCTTGGGACTGTGCAGACAGACTGACATGTCTGTCTACCACAGGTACTTGGACACGGATCCCAAACATGTCTTGTTTGAACGTGTGCTGCAGTCTGTTCTGGCTGGATGAGCCCTCTTTCCGATCCTCCTTCCTGACGGAATGGAAAATGCACTCTCATCAGGTTAGCATGTATCAGAGGTTGTGCTCATCCGTTCCAGTGAGGCCAGCGTATCTGTCTGTATTCATGACTGTTGTTGCTGATGTTTGCAGCCGTTCCCAGGATGGCAATGGTCCGACCTGTCTCTCCAGGACCCAGGCCACATCACAC